CCCCGTTCCCTCCTGTGCTGAGGCCCTGGGGTGGGTGGAAGGGACTGCATTCTCTGGAGCTTCTGTACCTCTGTGGTTCGGCCCCTCCCCCTGGGACAGACGTGTGGTTCTGCAAAGAGGCCGATAGCCTGTTGCCAGGGAGTGCTGGGACTCCGGTTTGGGCCATTCTGGGGGATGGGGATCCTGGCTCCCATCTACCCCTTCTCTGCCTTCCGTCCCCCTCCCTAATTCAGACACAGCCGCCAAAGCAAAGGAAACAAAATAAAACTAACTTTTGTTTACAACTGCCTGTTGTGTGTGCATGTGGGGCATGCGCACACGTAGGTTGTGGGTGCACACATGTATGTCTACCCTGGCACGCGCACGTGTGTGAGTGTGCCCGGGTGTGGTGTGTGTACATGTATGTGTGCGCACACGCGTGTGAGTGTGCATGTTTATGTGTATGGCCTTGGCCCTACTGGGACACCTGACTCAGCTCCAGTCTGGCTGGAAGAAGCAAGGCCCAGGCCAGTTGGGTGCCTTTCAGTGTTGGGTAGTGGGCGGGGCGGGGCTGGATGGGGGGCACAGCTGAACACACAGATGGTGACAACAAAGAACACAGCCTGGCACACATACCCAGAGCCTAAGATCAGCCTACAGTCACAGGCACGAAAGGCAGAGTACAGTGGATGTCATTATGTGGACGCTGGTCACAGCTTGTAGCGTGAAGGGCGGAGGTGGGCACATAGGTGGGGAACCCCATCGCTCTTGACCCCAGTGGTCCCCCAGTCCCCTTCAGGCCCAGAGCACCCCTCCTGGCCTGCAAACCCTCTTTGGTGTCCCCAGACCAAACCCCGATCCCAATGTCAGCCTGCCTCTGATGCCAAGAACACGCTGGGTCCCCTGGGGGAGCCCTGTCCCAGGGAGTCCCATAGAGCTATGCCAATCCAGATTCAGAGCAGAGACACACCTTGCATCTCCAAGACAGAAAGGGTCACGTGACCGGCAGTGTTGTCCTGGGGGAGTCAGAGTCTCTGTGTGTGGCTCAGACCTCCTCACAGCACAGTGACTCAAGAGTACCTGGCAAAGGCCAATCACTCTTATCGGCAGCCCCCAAGTGACACCATTTCCACTGCAGCCACAGGCCTGTGGGATCCAAGAGCAACCAGGATCCTTCTGGGACCACCAGGGTTACATTTTAAGAGGTACATGTGTGATAGGATCTCTGTGGCCTCATGGAGAATGCCATCAGCCACATGGACCCTGCAAGGCTTAATCAGCTATGTCCCCCCTCCGCCATAGGTGAAGCCCCCTGACCCCACGCCGGGGACTGCTTTTGGGAATTTGCGGCCACTGACCCTTCTTAAACCACAACACTACCATCCTCCTATAAATCCCCTCAAGGGTATAGCCTGTACGATTTCTATATCTCAGCCCCCCTCCCCCACCCACTCTCAATTGGTCTAGATACAACGTGAGACAGTTTGGGTCATCAGGAGGAGGACTCTCTCCCAGGGCTGCTGGGGAAACTGGTTTGCTGTGGGTCAGGCTGAGTATCTGTGCCCAGTGGTTCCTGCCAACACCAGTCTAGATGTCACGGTGAAGGTGTGTTTTTAGATGAGATTAACACTGGCAATGAGCATTCTTTGGTAAGGCAGATCGCCATCCCCAGGGTGGGTGGGCCTCATCCAATCAGGTGACGGCCATAAGAGCAAAGACTGAGGTTCCTGAAGAAGAAGCCATTTATGTCCAAAGTGCTGCTGTTGGTAATATTTGTGTCATCCTGATTGGGCCCTAGGATTCCCAGAGTAAGCATAATTCTGGGGGTGTCTTTGAGGTGATTCTGCATGATATTCACACTGAATCTTTAGACTGAGTGAAGTCCCTAGTGTGGCTGGGCCTGACCCAATCAGGTGAAGGCCTGAGTAGTGAAAGGGAACTCATTTTGCCTGAGTGGGCTGGGACATTGGTCTCCAACCTGCAGACTCACTCAGGCTGGGCCAACAACCCAGCCCTCAGGCCTCCAGCCTACCCTGCAGATTTCAGACTTGCCGGCCCCATAATGACATGAGCTGGTTCCTTGGAGAACCCCAGCTAATACACATCCTATCGGCCAGAGTGTGTTAACAGGGCATCCCGTTTCAAGGCTTGGGGCCTGCGGATACCACTGGGGGCCTTCAGTTTTGTGAATTTTCCATGGCCATGGTTTAGGTTCCCACTGATGCCATGCCTCACTGACGTCACGCCCTCTCCACTGATGTCACTGGCTGTCCCCAGCCTCAGCGGACCTGTGCATCACCCAGGGTCCTGCCTCTGACACCCTGTCATTGCAGACACAGCCCCAATGCTACGCCTGAACCAATCCTCTGAAGGACGCAGCATATAAGCTGCTTGGGGCTGGGAACTCCCAGAAGCGGTGCTTTATGCTCACTGTGCTACTTGGACAGACCCCTCTCAGTGTGTGCCTTGGTTTCCCCATGCACCTGGCATGGCATGAGGATGAAGGGCTGAACCCAAGGCACAGAGCCCAGGCCTCCCCGCCTCACCTCACTGCGTGGTGGTGGTGGTGGGGGGTGGTCCCTGAGCTGGGCTGGGGGGGTGGCCAGAACAGGAGCAGACGGGATGGCCTTCTTGTCTCACTGTCATCCGTTTCCACGGCTGGAGCCAAATGGCCGGCTGTTCGGGGAGAGCAGAGGGCCGTGGGGGGGGGGGGGAGGGGGCGGCTGCTTGTGAGCTCCCAGAATGGAGGCAGCTTCCTCTCTGCCTTTGGGAAGGGAGGAGACCGTGAGGGGAGAATAACAGGAAGCCACCCCTGGCCCAGTGGCAGCTGGGAAGTAGGGTCCAGGACCCCCACGCCTGCTGGGTTCCCAGCTCTCCACCCCTCCAGGGCTCATGGCCTCAGAAGAAGCAATGGCACACAACCCAGGTCCACCAGTGCGGTTCCCTGAGAGGCTCTGCGGCCAGGCATTCCCCCCCTCCCCCGCAGCCAGGCAGACCCCAGCCACTGTCCCCAACAAATGCGGAGCTGAAGGTGCAAGGCAGGGGGCACCTGAGAAGGGGCAGCCCATGTGCAAGGATCCCCATTGCCAGGCTGGCCCAGAGATCTGGGAGGGCTTCCCGGAGTAGAGGGCTTGGAGAAATGCTAGCTGGCAGGTGCAGGCAGCCACTGGCCACGTGTGGTTCTGGGCACTTCAGTGTGGCTCTTGTGAGAAGCTGAAAGTTTCATTTAACTTGGTCTGAGTTGCTGTGCACTTGACCAGCCCTAGTGTGGGTAGTTGCTGTGCTGGACAGCGCCGAGTGGACTGCGCCAGGAAGGTCGGGACGGTTCCCGGTGGCGCCGGGCGGCAGT